ATTCTCTAGATAAATTTGTATTCTTTTATATTTTAGTGTTATTTTTTTTATTATTTTTGTGTTATTTTTAGATAAATGATAAAAAATCCTCTTATAACAATTATAAAAACCACCTTTGTGTTTTTACCCTAACAAAGGCCTCCCCTATAGTTTTGAGGAAAAAAGTGCAAACACTTCCTTTCCCCTGGCTTTTTGGTAACAAAGACATTGGAGTTATCAAAATACCCTTATAAGTGTTAATGCATTATCATACATAGTTTAGGCTCTGTTTGGTTTACGAGAAGATTTGGGTGGAATGGGATGGGAAAGTGTAAAAAATTACCTTTCCATTGTTTGGTTTTATATAAGGGAAAACACTATTACGAGGGAGAAGAGAGAAGAAGGTGAGGGAGAAGAGAGAAGAGGAATGGGTTCGCAGACCTAGGAAGATGGTGGTTACCAGGAACTTAGATCTAAGCTCCGATCTATGTTTGTGAACCCAGGAAGACGGTGGTTACCAGGAACTAAGATCTAAGCTCCGATCTATGTTTGTGAACCCAGGAAGATGGTGGTTACCAGCAATGACGGTGGTTACCAGCAACGGTGGTGGTTACTAGCAACGGTGGTGGTTACTAGCAACGACGGTGGTAACTAGCAGTGGTGGTGGTGTAGCAGCGGCAGTGGTGCAGCAGTGGCGGGGCAAAGGATGAAGATGAAGAAACTCGAGTTTTCTTGAGATTTTCCACTGGGGTCGCACAGTTTTGGTGTGACCCCGGTTCCACAATTTTGGGATCTTGTATCCCAATTTTTTCTCATCCCATCCCCCTATTTCCCTTAAAACAAATGAGAGAAAAATGAATATTCTTGGAATATTCCCTTTTTTCTCATCCCCATCCCACAAACCAAACGGAGCCTTAAAGTTTCAACTTTACCCTCCACTAATTTATTTTGCCAAACAACTTTCAAAGAATAATTCTCCTTAGTCTTCTTGGACAAAGTACGGTAAAAAGGCTGAAGTGAAGTAAAATTAATGTATTACATCAATATTTTTTATTTGGAATGTTGACGTAAGGAAGGTATTTGCACCTTTTTCCAAAACAATAGGGGAGGGTTTTTGTTAATGTCAAAACATTGGAGAGTTTCATAGGATTGTTAGAAAACACACCGAGGTGTTTTATAATTTTCATTGTTTTTAAATGAAAATTAAATTGATTTTAAAATAATTAATTATATTTAAAATTAGTATTTTTATTATTTTTTTGAAACTACTAAAAGCTGAATTTATTTAACTATATTAAGTTTTTATTAAATTTAAATTCCTTATGAAATTTAATTAACTATATAAACTTTTATTTTTCAATAGAACTTAAGTTGGTTTTAAATTAATAAAATTTAATTATAAAACTAATAATGGTTTGATAATTTTGAATAGTTTTATATTAATTTTAAATTGATATTAGTTTTTAATATATATTATTCCTTTTATTAATTAAATTCTTTTTATTATATTAATAAAATATTTTTATCAATAACAATAATTATTAATTATTTTTATTTTATTTAAGTAACTTACTAACGTATTTTTATTATGGTTAATTAATTTTTATTATTTTCAAATGGAATATAATTTTAAATGGAAATAGCTTATTTAGCGCAACAATATATATGTGTATAAATATATATTTTAGCAATAAATAATGTACACATATGTTTTAGATATGTTATATGTATTGTTTTATATTTAATTTGTGTTTTTTAATTCACTTTTTAATTTTTTATTTATAAAAAATATAAAAAATTGCAAATTGAGGCAAAAAGGAGTTTTTTTTGCTAAAATAGCGGGGCAAGGTGCCTACGGGTCCTTGGGATGCATAGATCTCGAAAAGTTACCCGAAATAAAAAAAAAGAAAAAATCACCCCAATCGGACATTGAAGTGTTCAAAGTTATGGCATCTGAAAGTTTGTATGCAATGAGTATGCAACCTGCGACCCAGTCATCGGTTCAAATGGGTCAACAGTCGAACCAACTAGGTCAAATGGTTATTGATGAAGTCAATGATTTTGACCATTTGGTGGGTCTTGATTGAACTGGACCCAAAATCCTAGTAGGGTGACGGTCCGAACAGATTGACTGATCAGGTCAATGATAGGTTGAAACATTGTATAAAACTCACCATCACTTTTTAACATTTCTCTTAAACTCACCACAACTTTTCAAAACATCTTGAGCCCCATACCAAAGAGTTTTTATTTTCCAAAACTCACCCTTTGTCAGATTAAAGTTAAGGATCATTGACAGAAATTGTCCACGTAAGCAAATAAATAATATATTTGACTGAAATGCTCCTAAACAGTGAATGAATTAATTTTTGACGGTATTGTTGATGGCATGAACTTCATATGAGTAGGGGAATTAGAAGTAGCAGGGCTTGCAAGGGTTTGTTCTATCTCAAAGTTCAAAAGTTAGTCCTCAACATCTCTGTCGGTGAAAGTGGAGATCGTCTCACCAAAGCCACGAAGGTGTTGGAGTAGCTGAGTGGGTAGACCCCCGTTTTCTCAAAGCTAGGTACATCATTAGGTCTTTTGGTATAAGACGTAATGATGAGAAGATTGCATGCTAGGTCAGTTAGGGGTGAGAAGGCGATGCAATTTCTGGAGAGTGGGTTGGTCAAGGAATAGGAGCTGTTGAGGAGGAACTTCAATGATATTGGATGCTTTGGTTTCGATATTCAAGAGCATATTGATTTGGGTATCAAGTATGGTCCTTCAACTAGTATCTATGGTATAGAATTTTATGTTGTTTTGGAATGCTCGCCATGTTCGCATCAAGACGAAGAAACACATGAAGAAAATGAGAACGAGGTCGAAGCGATGTAGGAATGGGAGTTTCAGAAGAGTAGAGCAAATCCAGGACGGTGTTCATTTGCAACAACATCTGGAGTGCTTACCGCATAGAAATCAAAGATGGGTTCATATCCTTTGTCAATTTGCGAGGCTCTAAGAGCTTTCAGGGGCCAGGGCCAAGTTCAATTGTTTTCTTCCCTGTCGATGCTCGTGTACATCGATTAACGAAAGGGAAAAGCAATAAAAGGCAAGGTCTTCCCTAGCTTCGAATCCTACAAGTTCCTGTGGGACTGTTTTTGCCCGATGGTTGCTGACCTTAGAGGAGGGTGAGGAGGAGAAGTGGAAAGAGAAGGAGTTGGTAGTTAGAGAAGAAGAGAAGAGAAAGAATCTAAAGATGGTCCATGTGATCGACATTGAAGAGAAAAGGAGAAGCAAAGGAGGTAGCTGGCGAGGAAGAAGAGGGGAGAGTGAGCATTTGTGTTCCACCCAAAAATGCTCTATTGATGATGAGATGCAGATCTGATACAGAGGCCGGTGATATGAAGACTATGACGAAGTTACTGACATGGGTTAAATATAAAAAAGGGTAAAATGGTAATCTATTAATATCCGTTAGTTTGTTCAGTCTCAATTTACTGATAGGATTCCCTGGACGTTTTGAAAAGTTATGGAGAGTTTAAAAGAAATGCTGAAAAATGATGGCGAATTTTAAGACAATTTTGAAAATAGAAAAGTACCAGTTTGGCACATTCTATTTTAATATATAGATATAGATTATCATTTATTGACAGTGCAGCAGCAGTAGCAGCGTAAACCTGTTCATGGGCTGGGTTTAGGCTCGGCTCAAAGCCCAGAATCAAAGCAATATAAAGTGTTTATAGGCTGAGCCGAAAGCCCGACCAGTGAACAGATACAGCAGCAGGCCCATTTATTGATTTATAAATTACAATTCAGTTGGAAATAATAAAATATTATCTGAATGGCACTTTTTATTTTACAATTCAGCAGCAGGCTCATTACTCGATGAATTCAATGAAAAGTTTGGAAAACAGAAATATGTAAAAAAAAAAAGAAACCCAAGATAGGCTTTATAAGGATTAAGCCATTTTGGGTAAATTTAACTGAAAAAGTTGGTACTACCACGGATAGGTTATATCTCCTGAAGTGATTATACAAGTTTGGATGTTGTAGGGTTCGAATTCAAGATATTCAAAGACATGATAGAGGATTCCTTATGGATGGTTAGGATCCTATCCTATGGGGATCCAACTCCCAACCAAATTAACCAATACTGGCCCGCCTGGGCCATATTCACAGGTTCTTGAGCACAACTATTTACCTGTCATACAAGTTTTATTCCTTGTAAATATTCACGTTTCGAATAAAGTTTCATGACAAAGATAGGTGTTTGGCAATTTTTTTAAAATAATAAAATGCTAGATCAACAAAATTGTATTGCCTTTGTCTATCTGACAGTTGTTTTTGTTTCCAAAAACAAAATTATACATATTACAAAACGCGATAAAATATTGGCTCATACCTGGTCGGAGGACATGTGTCCGGCAAAATGCATTTTTCACTTATATTTTAGGGTTAAAATTTAATGATTTAGGGCTTAGGGTTTAAGATTAGGGGTTCAGAGTTAAAAATTTAGGGTTTACAGATTAAGATTTAAGATTTAGATATAAAAATAAAGAGGTGAATGTCCGACCACGGCATGAGAAAACTAAAGACAGGAAAATACCACCATAGTTTCAAGTTTCACTAAAAAAAATAAAATAAAATATAGTTTCAAATCCTTTTTTAGCACCAGAAGAAAGACAAAAGAGGAACAGGAAAAGAGGAAAAGCTATTACATTTATTCATAAAACCCAAGGCTGTTTTGGTTTGTTAGGAAATGGGAGAGAAATAGAAAGTTTAAGGATAAGTTCCCTCAGCTTTTTGTTTCTCTCTCATCCTAACTCCTAAGATGAAAGGCCAAAAGGCATAACCACCAGTTGCATTGCCTCTCCATCCATATACAAGGTACAAAGACCTAACAGGTTGTGGCAATCAAAACTAAAACCTCTGGCCATCACATCAAAATTATTTAAAACTGTAATTCTCTATTTAAAAAAAAATTAAAACAATAAATTGGGTGGAGCTGGACTGATGCTTGTAAAAGGGTCAAAGCCGTAGTACATTACATCACATATGGACCCATATCAATTGAAATTTGAAACCCCAACTTCCATCCAGTACCAATCCATGGTTAACTTAAATCCATATCCCCTCCCTCCACACAGACACATACAGACACAGAATCATGGGGTTGAAGGGCCATGGCCGAAATTAAACACTTAAACAGTCAGTAGTTGAAATTTGAAAGAAATGCAGATCAAGAGGTGGACTCCTCTTATAGAGATAGGATGGTTATATAACTATAAGCCTCCTATCTCATTTGAAGGCCTGAAGGGTGACCGATGACCAGTGACCCTAAAATGGCCAATAGATGCTCTAGGGATGGTATCCTCCTTAATATTTATGTTTATCATTATCTATAAGAAAGAAAAATATAACCAGGTTGACCATATCGTAGGCCTCCTCTCTCCTTGTCCTTCGCTGTTGCTTGTGGTAAGTAGGAACATCTGAATTCGACCTAACAGAGGCAATATGAATCTTTTACGAATGAAAGAACTATTCTAATAATTTCATAAAACGAAACACAAAAAAGAGATGACAAGGCTGGCCGGATGAGTGTGCAAATTGACATGGTCTTTGATCAACTTACACAAGCTCCCTCAACATATCCCATGGATTAATTCAGCTACATATCCCATGGTCGCAATTCCTCCTCTTTCGAGAAGGGCAAGAGCCAGCTCACATTCATGCCACCCTCTCAATCCATTGGCCAATTTCCTTAAGATCTCTTGCCTCACCTCTTGTATCCAAGCTGGAGCAAAATGTACTACTAAACCTACAAAACACGATACGTATGCCTTCCAAGTTGTAGGATCACAACCCAGTGATATGTTTCCCTCTAGTGCCCCAGCAACGAAATCCACATGAACTCCCACAATGCGGGCTCGTCTAGAGTGTGCCCTTGTAGAGGACGTGGCCCCAACACCCCAGACAAAAGATCCTGACAGGAACACCAGATAAGCTACTGCATATCCCTCAAGAATTCTGGACACAGGACCCACGCCAGTAGGTTTCTCTTCCCTCGTTGATAGCAGCCATGTGGGTATAGTCTCCTTGTACAGTACTTGGACAAGCTGGACACCACCTGCCACACATAGAAGGCTTGCACCTAGTGTGGCCACCTCCTTTGCCCAGGATGTCGCAGAGGCCAGTGATACCCGACTAGACTTCAAACGGGTGGAGTTGGCACAGGCCCACCTTGCAGCTGATTCTTGAGCTGACTTGGAAACAAGTCCTAGAATCACATCATTCACAAATTGAACATTGTGTATCGTCCTACATGTGCGGAGGTAGAGGAAACCAGGTGCTATGGAAGGGCGAATTCCACATGCTGAGATCTTGCTGCCCAAGAGACCATTCACACCCCTCTGAGCTGTCATTGGAGAGACTGTGACATGTGGTGATCCAAGGAAGGAAGTGAAACAACTCCTGAGGAGCTGAGCAACAGCTGCCTGATCCTGTTTAAATGCAGAACGAGAACATGAAACGACAATGAAGTCATGCCACCGGCGGGCCTTCTGAGCCCACAAAGCTCCAATAATTGGCATGCTAGGCCAAGGGCAACTTGATGCACAATTGTCCAGTGCAGATCCAGCAACAGTGTGGATATATTCCAAGTTCTTGTCAAGTTTGAATGTTAAGGTTAAACTGAGCATTGCTGCCATTGGCAATGGAAGCATCACAGGTGGACCTTCTGCAGGAAGAAAGAAGGTGAAATAAAGAAAATAACGGAGATCTCAGATATGTACGCACTCTATATCATCATTCAGGTACCAACAACAAATGTAACAACTAAACAACCCTCAGAAACATAGTACTCTAGGAGAATCTAGGTGACAGCGGGGCACCTAGTTGCCTAGGAGATAGATATAGCAATCCTATTTACCAAATAACAATGAATCTCATAGCAAACCATAATATCTCAAAGACAAATAATTTATGCCTTTTAACTTTAATTTCATAGTAATGTGAAAACTATTTAATAAAGCATTTGCATATAAAAAAGTGAAAGAAGGATACACTTTTTAACAAATAAAAGATTTGATTTGAAGAAAGTTGACATTGAACAAGTTACATATAACTTCATAAGAGTGTGGATTTTAGCTACTACTAACAGCCTCATACTAAGATGGTTTGAGCATGTGCATAGAAGACCGCCAACTGTGCCAGTTAGAAGAGGTGATTTGTTAGTCATTGAAGGGGCTAGAAGAGCTCGGAGTAGACCAAAAAGAACATGGGTAGAAGTAGTAAGAAATGATTTAAGCACTAATAATTTAGCAGTGGATATAGCTGCAGATAAGGAGGCTTTAGTGGTAGATTCTTTCTTGTGTCAAGATGGCAGATTAGTTTGGGTTCCCCCTTTAGGAGAAGTTTTAATGACTGGGAAATTCAGCAGGTAGCAGAGTTTCTTAATCTGTTACAAGACCAACATCTAGATGTTCAGATGCAAGACTCAAGAGTGTGGAAATGGTCAAAGTCAGGAGAATACTCAATCAAATCTTTTTACAACTTTGTAGTGGGGAGGTCTGAAACTCCTTTCCCTAGTCAGGCAATTTGGGGGACTTTGGCTTCTCCCAAGTTCAAGTTTTTTGTTTGGGTAGTGGTTCTGGACAGGTGTTTGTCCAAAGAAATGCTGATGAAAAAAGGGCTCTTTTTGTCAGATTGGATGTGCTGCCTTTGCAATGAGCAAGTGGAATCATCCGGGCATCTCTTCCTCCACTGCAAGTTTAGTACTGCAGTTTGGTCTCACTTCTTCAAATCTCTGAATCTAAGTTGGTGCATGCCATCCTCAGTTAGAGCTCCGTTTGAGGAATGGAAGATTCAGGGGATGTCTAAAAAAGGAAAATTATGCTGGAACTCCATCCCTTTGGCAGTGCAGTTGGCTGTGTGGTCAGAAAGGAACAAGAGGACTTTTGAAAAACAACCTTCTACAGAAGCGGAGGTCAATAACTGGTCTATAGAAGTTTTGAAAAGTTGGATGTCTATACATACGGTTTTTAAAGATAGTTTTTCTGATTATACTTTTTTGAGGATAGCCTTCTTTTGAGGTCCTTCTTTTGTACAGCTTCTCAATGTACACAGGGCCTATTATTAATAGAATCATACTTTACCTTTTCTCAAAAAAAAAAAAAAAAGAAGTGGATATGGTGTTGAATAGAATGGATTGGTGAAACAGGATTCATACAGCCAGCCCCATATAGTTGGGATAAGGCATGGATGATGATGATGATTTTTGGTAGATTATTTACTGACCATATGAAGCTGAATTTTTAGGTACTAAAAAACATAGAAGAAATAGCCACAAGAAAAGAAAGAAAAAAATGAAAAGGAACTCTTTTATCCTCTCACATTTTGTCAAGAAGTATAAGCATCAAACCACATAAACTATTGCGGTTGTTAAGTTTTATTCCTTTATTCTTGTGGTGCCATCAAATCCAAGATTGCACTTCTTCAGTCTTTACAACTATTTCTTTTTGAATTATAACAGTTTTTTAATTTTAATTAAACAAAAAAAAATTTGGTGTGAAAGAGATTTAAGGGTCTTCAACAACAAAATCTCATCACAGGAGGCTATTTTGAGGAAACTGAAGGGCATGTCGTCTTTTTGAGTACTGACACAGACTTCAGGGAAGTGCCCCATTCCCAATTTTTTATTTTCTATAATTATATACTGTAAACATAAAACCTGTCTTGATATTTTATGCTGTGGGCTCATTTGACTGTAGTTTCATGCTATAGTGTCTTGTTGTAATTGAGCAGATTTTACATGGTTTTGTAGTTTTTACGTCATCATCATCATCATCATCTACATGAATCCTGTTTCACCATTCTATGCTGTTCAGTGCCATATCCATCATTGAATTATGGACACTTAAATCATATCTTATTACTTCCATCCAAATCCTCCAGTCTGCGTCTAGCTTTTCTCACCCCTTTAACTTGTAACAAATCACTTTTCCTAACAGGTGTTGTAGATGCTCTTCTATGCCTGTAACCTAACCCTCTCAATCTACTTTCTCTCATTTTATCACCTATTGCTACTCCTAGGTTCCCTTGTATGATTTCCTTTCTAACCTTGTCCTTTCTATTTTTACCACTCATCCAAGTATTCGCATTTTTTTTGATAAATGATTAATACTTTGTTGATATTAAGAGCTTAAATCAGTACAAGCATCCCTTTGAGAGGCGTGAGTTACAACCTCCCCCAAATCTAGAACAAAAAGAAACAGATTAAAAGCAAATTACAGCTGAGCCCAGTATCAAGTATCCCTGTTTGTCCCTTGTTCAGCAAGACAATCAGCCAAAGAATTTGCTGATCTTCTGACCCAGTTACTCTTACATTCATGTCCCTTGTGTAGAGAACATTGATGTGGGCCCCACAGCTGTGGTCCCACTCTGTCCGTAGGGTAGAATGAATCTAGTCACAGCTGTGGTTATTTTACTATTCTGTTATTTCTAGTTTCAGTTCTATATTGTTTGTTATTTGTTAGCAGTTATGATGTAAACACCAAGGGCAGATATGTCCTTTCATGTAACTAGCATAACCTATATAT